CGAGAGAGAGAGAGAGAGAGAGAGACAGAGAAAGAGAGAGAGAGAGAGAGAGAGAGAGAGAGAGAGAAAGAGAGAGAGAGGGGGTGGGGTTGGAGAGAACATTCGTGTAAAATGATAAGAAAACTCAACCATTGACTCCTGGTGCTTTATTATTTTTTTGTGCTTTGTTTCTTTTTTTTTTTAATCTCAGAATACTGGAGTCCTTCCGTGAATGTGCGTTGACGACTATCAACACAGTCTGCTCTGGATCGGAAACAAACCTCGTCGAGGAAATGGCTAACGAACTTAACGTGATTGCCTATACATGTAGCCCTGTTGGCCGTCCAGGTAGACACCTTCTCCATCTCCCTTCTTTAACATCAATAATTAATTTCACTTGGAGTATCTTTTCCATTTATAATAAATTGTTTAACTTACATAATAATTATTGTGAGGCATCGTGCTGAAATCAAGCGCTCGTCAAAATAATGAAATCAAAGTTTGGCACTTTTTTGGCCAATGGGTAATTTTTTTTATTTAATTTTCTTTTTTTAACTCAACGCCTTTTACGCCCATTTCAATACACATTTTTGCGAAAATTTTACAGAAAAAAACATTGATTGAAAGCACAAAAAATGTAAATTTTCAGTTTCCAAGGACTCTCATGCTGTAGAAGTTACCAAGCTTTGACAGCCTTTTTCTTGCTAATTTTACCTCTGAAACAAGGCTACCCTGACCTCCTTCAAATGCAAATACTTCGACTTCCACCCAAGATAGATGGATATTTTTTTTATGAAAAGGAAGACAAATGAACAGGCTTTGAGATGATGTTAATAACAACATACAACATAACCTCAAAAATTGACGAGCTACTACAACATGGAATCTAACAGTTGATTGTATTTGGCAAGTTACATTAATAAATCATTATAAAGAAAAGCCTTACCTTCTAAATGAGCTACTTCCACAATAATCCCGTTATTAACACAACATTTATACCATAATTGTGGCTCGACACGACGGAATCAAACGTTCGTCAAATGTTTTAGGTATACGAAGGTATTATCTTTAAACCCTGTATATTATTTTCTTTGCAAACTGTAAAAAACAACAACATTTACCTTTACCCCGATCACCCTTTGTTTCCCCTCTCTATACTACACCTGTATTTGAAATTATGCATATCTATTCAACATGCTAGATATCAAGCAAAACGTACATTAAAGTTTTAATTAAAGAAAAAACTTTTGGTGTTGTTGTTTTTAAACTAGCTGGTTTAAAACTTTGGAATACCCATGCAAAATTGTACAACGTTTCAGACATCAACCAAAATGTGCATTAATTGTTGAATTGAAGAACAGACTGGGTTTTTTTTCACCAAGTTATATGAAACTGTAATAAAACGTTAATGTTGTTTTTAAACAAACTCATTTCAAACTGTCGTAAGCAAGTCGGCCACCCCTTTATTTTTCTCTCTATACTCCACCCATTTCTGAAATGATGCAAAATTGTACAACGTTACAGTCACCAATCAAAATGTGTATTAATTGTTAAATTGAAGAACCAATTGTTTCTTCCATAATAAACCTATCGGTCCTTATCCCCCCCCCCTCACCGCCCATTCCCCGTGTATTTTTCTCTCTATACTACACCAGTTTTTGCAATGATGCAACAGTCCGTTTGTCTCCGCGATAGCAGCTCATTCCATACTCTGAGGGGTATTCTGGAGACGTGTCAGGATGTGCCCTACGCTACAGTGGAACCTCACTTGGAACAGAGCAGTTTGCAGGGAACCTTGCCCGACCCTGCTGTCGTGTGCCCGTAAGTTTGTGATGTTGATGTCATTGTTGTTGCAGCTGTGTGTGTGTGTGGTAGCCTATCCGTCAGAAATGTCTGGAGCCCCGAAGAGTGAGCTCTTCGCCTGGGCCACCGCCTCTCTTGGGTAGCGGGTGAGGCAGTCCAACCTCCCTGAATCCTCCCCAAAGAGATGCCACCGCCGGACATGACATTCGAGGCGAGGCATCTCTGCAGTCAGTGCTCCAAATCTTGAGGCTCCTCGCTGAACAGTGGACATATTGGGTCCGATGTTTTGTCTATTCTATTTTTGTAGGCCCGCAGCCCAGAGAAATGAATGACCGGTCCTGATTTTTGTTAGTAGTGACTGGTCTCTGCGGGACTTAATTTGAGCCTCTCCTTTTAAAGAAATTGCCCTGTATATTTCCTTCGTCCGCGTGTGGGATACCGGAGAGTTTTTTGTGCTGAGTTTTATCTGGGCGCACGCACTTTCATATGTTATTTGGCGGCCCGGACCCGGCAGCGCTGTTGCCAGTGTGGCATTACTGTCAGCGAGATCGTTGCCGAGAATATTGCAGTGACCAGGGATCCACTGAATGGTGGGTTGGGGTGTTGCTTTATTTGTGCGAAGTCGCATTTGGTCGAGGGAGGCTGATGTTCCCACTAGTGCCATGCTTAGCGATTGACTGTCAGTGAAGATAGCGACCGAGCTGGATGCATCGCACTGTTTGTCAATCGAGTCAATGGCCATTTCCACGGCTCTCCTCTCTTCCTCGAAAGAGCACGTGAATATGGCGCCTTTCTCCCCCACAGTGTCATGGCAACGGTCGGGATGGACGGGTCTCCCCGTTACCTTGATGACCCAAGCCCCGCTATCCGTTGTTCCTGCACTAGACGAGCCGTCAGTGTAGATATTGTACTGTGCGTGAAGCTCTCGTTCTCGACCAACAGCTGTGCTTCGGATCTTCACACTGGAGTCACTCCTTCCGCTTATGCCGTACAGGTGGAGGAAAGAGATGTTGGGGTTGATTCCTCGTTCCCACGGCCTGGTTTCGAAATAAGTAATGGGCCTCCTCTCGCAGTTGAACAGATGTGATGTGAACTTTTTTTGCTGGCGTCTTCGGCCTTTTTACTGAAATCTCTGCGTCCCTTTAGGCGTCTGTGTACTTGTTCCGTTGCCGCAATTCGTCGGGGGTGGTCGTTGTTCATTCGCAGGACCTTCTCTCTTGGTCGGAGACAGTTAGCATTGATGGCGGACTCAATACTTGGGACCTCCGTTTCAGCTCGAAGTGCCTCGATCGGTGAGGAATGGGCTTGGGTAGTGATCAGTCGCAGACATCTGTTTTGAACCACCTCCAGATTATTTATCAGTGTTTTGCTCACCACGGCTGCCAGCTGCAGCTCACAAAGTTGAGGACACTTTGTATATGGGTGAGGTAGCACTTTCGTAGGTCATCTTTCCTCCATCCCCATTTTGAGTGCGTGACAGCGCCGAGCATCCTCATCTTCTGTGTGACCTTAGCTATTACTCTCTCAACCTGTTTCCTGAACGTGAGCCTGCGGTTGAGTGTGACTCCTAGGAGTCTTGTGTAGGGCTCATACTTAATTGTTGAATTATTGATCGTGATACATGGCTTCCAGTCTGAGTCAGATGTTGCGAGCGTGAAGAATATAGTCTCGCTCTTCGAGCCGTTCAGCGTGACTTTCCATCGCCTGCTCCAGTCAGCAACGGTGTCCACAGCTCTTTGTGCCAGACTGACGACGCCTCGTGCTGTGCGGGATGAAGCGAGGATAGAGATGTCGTCATTGTAGAGGGAAATTGTGAGGTCATCCGGAAGTAGTTCCGCCAGTTGGTCGATATAAAAGAGATGGGTTCCAGGACGGAACTCTGTGGGAGGCCTTGTTTCATTTTCCTGTTCTTACTCAGTATTCCGTTAAATCGGACTCTGGCGTAACGATTTTGAAGGAAGTCATTCAGCCATGAAACGTATTTATCTGGGATACCTCTGTCTAGGAGTGTGTGGAGTAGGCGTTCTCGCCAGACCGTGTCGTATACCTTTGAAAAATCGAGGAGGATGAGTACCGATTTCTCCCTCTTTTGGAAGCCGTCGGAAATCTTCTGCGTAATTCTCAGAATTTGGTCTTCCACTCCTCTTCCCTTCCTGAAACCAGCCTGCAGTTCAGAGACCCAGCCATTTAGCTCAGCTATGTCGTACAGTCGTTCAGGTACCATTCTCTCCATAACTTTGATGATACAGGATGTGAGGCTTATCGGTCTAAACGACGTTAGTTCAGATGCTGGTTTGGCGGTCTTGAGGAGGGGGAAAGTGATCGCGTCTTTCCAGACTTGTGGGACATCTGCTGAGCGAAATGACATGTTGAAGATGGAAAGCAGTTTTTCAAGCGCTTTGGGGCCCAGGTTTTTTTAGGAAGGACGGAGGGATGTTGTCTGATCCGGGTGATCCACGGGACTTCATCTTTGCAATGGCATTCCTCAGTTCCGCGATAGTGAAATCGGACTGTTTTGCCCTTGGGTTGTTCCGTAAGTATTTCAGTCGCTGTTTGTGTTGTCGGTTTTCGGTTCTGTCTCCTTCCGGCATGTTTAGACTGCAGACGTGCGCGTAGTGGTCTGCGAATATGTTCGCCTTATGTTTGTTTGATGTCACCAGCCGCCCATAGTATGACATTGCTTCATTTGGCGAATTTGTCTCAGGGGTACCGTTGAGACTTTTAATGATTTTCCACTTCGTGGTGTCGTCCTGCGAGTTGGTGGTTTTCTTAAGCAGTTTTCCCCAAGAGTCGGTCTTGGCATCGTTGATCCACTCCTGCGCCACATGGCACGCCTCTAGCCCTTTGTTGCGGCGGGTTCGCACCTCTTTCTGGAGTCTATTTCACCTGCGGATTGCTCTTCGAACTGTGTGGGTTTCCCATGTCTTTGTGGGCCTGCCTGGTTTCACAGTGCCGACAATACGAGTACTGGCGTCTATCAGGGCAGTGGGGAATTCAGACACCATGTTGCGGATGTGGTTGTTCGACGGCATTCTCGTCAAAGTGTCACGTTCAACAGCGTCAGTGAAAGCTTTCCTGTCGGCACCGAACGATTTCCAGGTGACCCAACCCTCGAATACCGACTCATGGCTGACCTCAATGTCAAGGGTCACGGAGATCGGCGCATGGTCAGAGCTGTCAATTCCGTCTCCTGGGTACCAGGTGTGCTTCCCGCTCCATGATGACCCACATATAGAGCTATCGAGGGCACTTTTTCCTCCCGTGGATGCTGGGGTAGAGGGAGAGGGATTGGGGTTGGGATGGTCGTCATGCCTCGACTTTGTGTTGATATGTGTGTGTGTGTTCCGTCGTTCATGACCGCCATGTCGTTATCCAGTGTCCAATTCTGCAGACTCTTCCCTCTTGCATCCGGTGGTTGAAATATATCCCACAGGGGACAGTGGGCATTAAAGTCACCCATTATGATAGATTCGGGAGTAGTTGGGAGTTCGTCGGTTGCCAAACGTCTAGATTGTTGAGATGTGTGGGATCTGACAGGGGGGAGGGGGCAGTAGATGTTGCACAGTGTGGCCCATTTCCTCTTCCCGACCTTCACCTTAAACATCGAAAGCTCAGTTCCCCTGATGAACGCGTCTTGGACATGTTCAAAAACTAGGGTATTCTTGATATAAGAGATGAGACCTCCACCTCCGTCCTGGTTTCGCCTCTCTACCCTGATCGATGAGTATCAATCGATTCTAGGTGTCTTTTTACTTGGTTTTAGTTTCGACTTCTGTTGCTGCTGTTGTTGTTGATGGTGTTGTTGGTTTTCTTTGTAGTGTTGTTGTTATTGCTGTTATAATTTTTTGTTGCTGTTGTTGTTATTGCTTGCGTTGTTATTTCTTGCTATTGTTGTTAATCAACATAATTTGTCAGTAAAATCCAGGCAGGTTTGTGATTTTAAATGGATATAAAAGGTGCTGAGACAAAAAATAAAAAGCAAAACAAAAACAGCAAAATGTCTGGGGAAATGTCTATACGGCGAGAAAACGCCAGTATGTTCGATTGTACTTTTTTACGAGCTCCTGATTTCACAACGACGCCTCACATAATATTTATGAATGAGGTACAGAAATCAATCAATGAAATATGAATGAAATCGGTACTCCACCTTACCCGTAGATCTATGTGATGAAACACTGGTTTAGCTTCACATTAGCACAAATAGTGACGTTCTGAAACCAAGAGAGAAGCGCGCAAGCAGCGCACAACTACGTGTGGAAGTGGAGATTTTAATGTTCAAAATGTGGCTCACTTTTCTCTGCCAGAAATGATCTCATCGGACGCAGTAGGGGCGCAAGTCAACTTAAGATCTATTTCTTCAAACTTTTCTATTTAGCTGGAGAAATACTCTCCTCTGTGAATGTATTGGTCATCGTCAGATAGTGACTAGACTTTCCTAATAAAATATTTTTAACAGACAAGTAGCCCAGATGCGGAGCTGTATTGTGGGTGGTGTTGGCCAGCTATGTGGAGATGCCTTTGAAGAGTTTTTCACTCAGCTGTGGACGATTTCGAGTACTTCATTTGTAGGAGAATATGACTGCGGTGAGGGACTTCGAAGAGCAAGTAAGTGAATCATCATCATCATCATCATCATCATCATCATCATCATCATCATCATCATCATCATCATCATCATCATCATCATCATCATCATCATCATCATCATCATCATCATCCTGTTTGTAAAGGAGCGAGGCAGGAGAGAAAGAAAATACAGAAAGGAAGAAAGAGAGAGAGAGAGAGAGAGAGAGAGAGAGAGAGAGAGAGAGAGAGAGAGAGAGAGAGAGAGAGAGAGAGAGAGAGAGAGAGCCCTGTACATTTATAGCACTAACAAAGAGTCAGTTTTTTGTTGTTTACCGGTAAAGTGTTTTACAACTTTCAGAACAAGTCTGAATGAATGGTTTGTTTTGTTTTTTCTTCAGCTGCCTTCCGGAAGAGGGGTCTCAGCCACCTTTTGGCATTGTAAAAGAACAGAAAACGCCGACGAAACCAGTTACAGGTGTCGTGATAGATAGCCATTAGAGGAATTAAACTAAATAAACTACTCATCAACAGCAATCTCACGTTTTGTTTCTCCGGACATTCCACGCAATTAGTTATCGTGCAACTGACTCGCTGCTACACTTTTGCTCTTCTCAAACCATGTGTTTGAACAACTTTAAAGTTAATGGTTTGTATTTGTTCATGAACACCTGTGTCTGTCCGTCTGTCTGTCTTATTCTCTGTATGTATGTATGTATGTATGTATGTATGTATGTATGTATGTATGTATGTATGTATGTATGTATGTATGTATGTATGTATGTATGTATGTATGTATGTATGTATGTATGTATGTATATATGTATGTATGTATGTATGTATGTATGTATGTATGTATGTATGTATGTATGTATGCATGTATGTATGCATGTACGTATGTTTGGCTGTTCGTTTTGTATGTATCTGTGGGGAGTCTGTCTGTGTGTGGAATGTCTGCTTGCTTGTCTAGATCTGGATTTTCATGTCCGAATTCTCGTAATTTTATTCAACTTACACGAAAACCGAAGGAAAATCTGTCAATCAGCCAGGGCACAGTAAAAAAGAACCTGAATAGGTGTAGTCATTACACGTGTTCAACAATTCAGGTTAAGCATTTGCCCCACTCATATTCTCCTGTTTTTAGTTTTAGTAAAAGTTTCACGGCATGTGCAACACAATAAGGTCATATAAGTGCCGAAGATTAGAGGTGTTACTAGAGAGTAACAAACACAGAAAAGGAGGAGAGATCAGGACGATAGATGTTTGATAGGAAAGAAGGAGCAAACCACACTAGAGCACCCGCCAACCACACACTTATATTCTCCAAACAGATGATATTTTAAAAGGACTCGTTTGTAGTTAACTCAGTTGGTATCACTGTTTTAAATGTTATGAGGGGTTGATACGTAACACCCAGTGCCTATTGGCGGATCGGTAGTTTAATACAAACTGGTCGCAAACCGATCGCCCGCGGTCTGAAAACAAACTCGTCTGTTTTTGAGGCAGTGAGTGACTCGGGCGATCTGTTTGTTTCACGATGGTGGCTTAAAGCTTTGCACCTTCAAACTGGCATGCCACGACTACCAAACCGCGGCCGAATCTTTAATTATTTCTTTTAAGTGGGATGTTTAGAAAGCCTACTACACATTGAAAAACAAAAGGTCATGTGGTTCGGACACCTCACGCGGATGCCCTCAAACCATCCAGCTCTGAGAGCATACAGCACTAAATATTCTGGATGGAGAGCCAGACGAAGACCAAGGCGACGATGGAGTGAATCTGTGGCAGACACCCTCAGAGCTCACGGGATGTCCCTCCTACAGGCCACTCGCCTTGCTGCAGACAGACGCCTGTGTCTCTCCGCGACACCCCCCGGTACAAGCGGAAGACAAAAGTAAAAGTAAATAAAGTAAGTTTAGAAAGCTTTTAAGTCAGCCTTGACACTTGAATAAATCCAATATTTAAACAACAGAAGTCCCATTTCTCCCCAAAATATGTACTCGTTTTAAGAGATAAGTCAAATCAAATCACTGACTTATGGTTAACCACCTACCAAGGAACGAAGGCAGAAACCCACCACGCTCCTACAACGCTTCACTGTTCAAAAGAAACAGAACAGGACAAAAAAGGACGGAGATTATACACAAAAAAAAAAGACAGTAAGTAAACTATAGTGCTTTAAATGGGTCCACATTTAAATCAGTTGTGTCACGGCATGGTGGGGTAAGGCGCTCGTCAATTTTGAGGTATTTGAAGTTATTGATACAGTGTTAAAGCTTTAATCATTTATATTTTGTCTTGCTTCTTCTAAAAAAAACTACTCTCGTTTCTACAAAAGAAATTGAGATATTTACAACGGAATGCGGTGATGGTCGCCTTATGAAAGAAGTAAAATTAGAGAGCAAATGGCAACTAAGGCTTGATGACTATAAAGAAGAGTAAAAAAGAAACAAACAACAAATCGATAAAAATTGGCCAACGAACGAAACATGTCCGTTTCTTCAATTTCATTATTTTGAGTAGAGCGTGATTTCCTCACAATGACACATGGTGTATTTCAAGGCATATTTCATTGTAAAATGGGGTTAATTCGTTCCTCATTAATAAACATAATTTAAAAGATACACAAAAATGAACTAATTTGAGAAAATATTAACAATCATCATGTATATGACCTGTCAATTTTGTTTTTTGGTTGTTGTTGTTTTTTTTTCTAAACGCGGAAATGGAAGTTACATCAATGTTCACTTCGATTTTTAAAAAAAATAGAAACCTAATCCAAAAAATTACCGAAAGCAACGATCACACAGCTTTAAACAACACGGAAGCCAGAGACGTGCTAAACATCTGTAGGTGTCAGGACGCGGTGGAACCAGGCGCTCGTCAGTTTTGGGGAATATCATAGAGTTATTGGTATCAGCTTAAAGCTTTTTCATTCATCTTGCTTTTGATGTAAGAATAATATCCATCTGTCTTGAATAGAATATTTGCGATTGAAGGAGGTGAGGCTCGACTTGTTTCAGAGGTAAAATAGCGAGAAAATGGCCGCCAAAGTTCGGCAACTTCCATAGATTGAGAATACTTGGAAATAGAAAAGTTGCAATATTTGTGCCTTAAATAACGCTTTTCTGGAAAATCCACACCGAAATGTGTTTTCAATTAGACGTATACAGAGTTGAGCCAAAAAACAAAAATTCAAAAAAATTGTCAAACTGGCCGAAAAATGCCGATTTCTTCCATTTCATTATTTT